GCTGGAGGGTGGGTGGCTTCGGCAGTTGCAGCTCCCGGACTCCAGAGCACGGGCTGCATATTTGTGGCACGTGGGCTTTGGTGCTCCATGGTATGTGGGATCTTCCCAGATCAGGGACCAAACCCATGTCTCCTGCAATGACAGGCGGATTCTTGATCACTGAGCCAGCAGGGAAGCCCACTGTCATTTGTCTTTTAACATTCCTTTTTGCTTGTTGTGCAGATTTTTCTTCATTTTCTTTTTTTCTTCACTGAACTCAATACTTTTTTATGGCTTATAGATTTTGAATCATAACTAGTAAGGTTTTCCAGCTTGGTGACTAAAGAGAGCTCAGGTAACACGAGAGAAGGACTTTCATGAGAGTGTATGAGGAAAGAACACAGTGATAAAAGCCCAGGTGTACCCAGGGGTAATACATGATTGTAGCAATGACTTCCATAAAAATTAACTTAAAAAAAAATTAACCAACTTGATTTTTTAAAATACTGAATCTATGTTTTATATTTTATGTATGATACCCTAACCTTTTTCTGTTAGTATTTCATCCACAACTCTTGACGTCTCTATCTCCCTAATTAGTCTTTTCTATGATTCTTTTTTATTAATCAGAATATATTGGAGAACTGTTTTATAATTTTAAAGGATTAGTCAGAAAAATGAAGAGGGCATGTTATAAAGGACACAAAAACACAAAAACACATTTGAGATCGCGTAGAGAACAAGAGAAAAAACAAAAAATAAAAAAAAACATAGAGGACACAGGAGATAAAATGAAAAAGGACACCACATAAGAGTGTGTGAAAAACACAATAATATTGTGGGGGGAGAGAAAAGCACAGGAGAGACACAATATTTTAAAAAAAGATTATAAGAAAGAGAGACACACACAGATATATATAGGGAAAAAATGATAAAAGAGATCCGCTAAAAAACATCACAAAAAAGAGTGATGGGCATTGGGGAGGATAAAGTATAGCTGTAACAACCATATTGATCAAATATTGACTGTTGTTGAAACTAAGTGATGGATAATGGGGTCTATTATTCTCTTCTTTCTACTTTTTGTGTATGTTTGAAATTTTCCATATTGAAAAATTTAAAAAGACTAAATAGAAAACTAACATAGAGTTATTACAGAAAACTGAAAAATGGGCAAAGGCTAATGGGTTAAAAATGAACATGAAAAAAAAAAAAAAAAAGAACATGATCCCACCAACCAGACCTATCTGCTATTAACATTTATATCCTCCTGGTCTTTTCCCCATGTGTAAATATGTCCATACACATTAATTTTTTAGAAAAGAAGATTGAGGTCACTCAGTGTCTAAATTTTCTAACTGAAAAATATTTAACCTTTTACTGTATCATGAACAATAGTCCTTATCACCATTCTGGTGGTTTCCAAGCATTTGGGGAAGATCCTCTGGAGAAGGAAATGGCAACCACTCCAATATTCTTGCCTGGAGAATCCCATGGACAGAGGAGCCTGGCGGGCTACAGTCCATGGGGTCCCAAAGAGCTGGACACGACTGAAATGACAGAACACAGCACACAAGCATTTCAATATATAGATGTATCACAATTTAACTGTTTCACTGTTTTATGTTTAAGATTTTTTTTTTTTTGATGTAGACCATTTCTATAGTCTTTATTGAATTTGTTACGATACTCTCTTTTATGTTTCGGTTTTTTGGGGAGTCATGTGGGATCTGAGTTCCCCGACCAGGGATGGAGCCCACACCCTCGACACTGGCAGATGAAGTCTTAACCCCTGGACCACCAGGGAAGTCCCTGTTTCACTGTTTTTTGTAGCTTTTAGGTGGTTCTTATTTTTCACCGCCATGAACATGAATATCCTTACGAATAAATCATTGTTCGTATCCACATATAGATCCTTAGGCCTTGATCCTGGAAATGGAATCATTGGGTTGGAGGGTACATCCAGGGTATGCAGTTTTACACAAAGTTCAAGTGACCTTTCCGAAAGACAGTACTGCACCAGCGATAAACGGGAATGCCTGTTTTTCTGTACTTGCAAGGCCAGAAGACAGAGTGGTTCAGACTGGTCATGAGTGTCAGAAGTGAAGAAGTGGCATTGCTGTCCAGAGGTATCCCTGATGCTTACACTGGGCGCGTGATGGCCCGGCGCGCTGGGGGAAGGCAGGGCTAGTCGCAGTGAGTGTCGGTGTGGCCGACACTTATGTCATATTAGTGAAGGGGCTGTGGGCTTAAGCAGCAGCCCAGTGTCTCTGGTTCTTGAGAAGAATCCTTGATGTGACTCAGATCAGTAGCACACACTCTGCCAGTCACCCTCTCGTTTTACGTTGTCATGGCTCGTGGGCGGTTCCCGGAGATGCTTCTTGGCCTGTGCGTCTTCATCTCTGCTTTGTATGTATCACCCTCCTGAATCATCTTTGAAACCCAGCTTATTTTCTAAACTCTCAGGCTTGTTTCAGTACTTTTTGGTTTATCTTGGTGTTACGGTTTGATAATCGTTCTTGCTCATTGCAAAATCTATATTGTGTTTAAATTTTGAGGCTTTCATAAAACGGCTGTATAACACGTATCCAGGAACTGCCAATTTATATTTATGTCTGTGTCCATACTCCATGTCCTTGCTTCATTCTGTTCCATCAGCCAGTGGTATCTTAGGCTGTCAGAGGACAGGATTCTGAAACTACCTTTTAGTGTAAGAGATTCTAACTTCGTAGTGAGCTTTTCTTTAGACTCTTGCTTCAAGTATAGAATTTAATGGAGTCAAACAGGTAAGACCGTTAATTGAGAAGCAAATCCGCAAACAATGAACCTAGAAAATATAGCCAAGATAATAGTATTAAAAACACAATAAAATGCTTCCCACTGTTCCTTTTAAGGAAATTAGGTCCTAATAAAAATACCCTTGAACTTAATTGTCTACATGCTATTTTGTACTAATAAAGCTTTTGTCCCTTTGACATATCCTTGAGGGTTGTCTGAAGTCTGCCATCTTCTCAGAATAGCTGGACACAGCTTAGCCCTCATGGGTTTCCTGTCTAGACTGTAAACATTTATAAGAGTGAAAGAAAGGATTATAGGGACTTTCCTGGTGGTCCGGTGGTTAAGATTCCACACTTCCAATGCAGGAGGCATGGGTTTGATCCCTGGCCGGGGAACTAGATCTGACATGCTGTGCAACCCAATAAAAGAAAACCAGAAGTGATTATAAGCACACACACCCTCAGAGTCATTTATTATTACATCACAGAGCTGCTTCCTTGTGCAGAGGTTAAAGTGTAGGAACCACCGAAGTAGAAAGCTGTCACTCAGAGAGGAGTTTATTTTAGTCATGTTTTTTGGGGTATACTTGGTGATTTTTTGTTGTTGTTTGTTTTTAAAATGTAAATTTGCCCATACACCTCACAATAATATTGCAGTGGTACTGCTATCTACAGGAAGAAAAGCAGATTTTGGTAAGTTCAGTACTGTCACTGAGTGCTCACAGGGAAAAAGAGCCAGCTGTAGCGTTGACAGCAGGAGCCGTTGGTCCCTCTGGAGCAGGAATGGGTGGGGGCAGCAGCGTACCTGCTGGACCGTGCAGATCTGGAATCTGAGCCTTGCGTGACGGCGTTTGGGCAAAGCCAGCAGTGACAGGCTGGGGGCATTGCTTTCCAGTTGTCATTGTGCCAGGGCCAGCTGTAATTAGGGGAGCCTCCCCTGGCTCAGAAAAACTGTATTTTTGATTCTCTTTCATTGCAGTATGATGGGAATTGTAGAGTTCTAAGGCCATTTAAATGGACTAAAAAAGTTTTAGTTTTTGTGGTTTTTTTTTTCAATTTTTCCTTCTGTTAGTGTCCTAAGGCTGCTGTAACAAAGTACCACAAACTAGGTGGTGACTGAGAACAACAGAAATGTATTGTCTCACAGTTCTGGAGGCTGGAAGTCTAAAATCCAGGTGTCAGCAGGCTTGGTTTCTGCCCAGGGCTCTGAGAGAGAATCTGGTGGTTGCTCCTCTCCTGGCTTCTGATGATCTTGGCTGTTCCTGGCTTGTAGATTTATCACTCCGATCCTTCACTTGCACACAATGTTCTCATGTGTGTCTGTGCGTCCAAATTCCCCCTCTTACAAAGATACCAGTTGGGACTTTGCTGGTGGTCCAGTAGTTAAGATGCCACACTTCCACTGAAGGGGGCACAGGTTTGATTGGTAGTTGGGGTGCTAAGATCCCATATGCAGCGCAGTGTGGCCAAAAAGTAAAAAACAAAGACACCACTCATACTAGATTATGACCTCATTTTAAATTCAGCCTCTGTCACACTTTCAGCAAACATAGTGCCAAAATGGTACCCATGGTCCTCCTGTGCTTGACCTGAAGGCAGGATTGGATTCTCTGTTGACCAAATGGTCCAGGGCCTTAGTGTAGCTTTCTTGGCTTTGGGATCAGTTGGCAGAATTACCCACAGCCAAGTCTCTGCCACCTGTGCAGGATGGGGTGGGGGAAGAAAAGGTCCTGAGCTCTTTATTACTTGGTTCAAATATAAGCCCTTTGTGACCTCCAATAGTTGTTTTCCGTTATTTGAGACGTTGAAGAGTACGCTTCTTCTTATTCTTTCACAACAGCAAAGCAAGAAGACAAACTTGCTCTCTAAACAAAGAGCAGCTTTTAAGCAGGGAATGTGTGGTCTTCCAAGTTTCCCCTTCTCATCAGCAACAGCCATTCTCTGGGAAGCATCCTTTGCTCCAGAACAATGGACATTAGTTATAGTCTGTTAATTCCTCCTGTTTCCCACGAGAAGGAGCTTGTGTCCACAGCACTGTCGGGGAGTTTCAGAGCCTATCTTAGAGCTTTTGCTAAGGAACTTGTAACATCGAAGGAAGTGTCCTAGGCAACCTCTGGAAGGGAGGCTTTTAGTTTATCCAGGCTTTTGCCCTCCCCCACCCCAAGTATTGCTGCCCCTGGGGCCGGGGAGTGAGTGGCAGGGCTGCGGTCAGAGCCGTTCTCACTGTGCGTGTGTCTCGTGCAGACACCAGCTGGAGACCCCGGGTCATTACTCTCACCTGGCTGCCTTCTATGAGGACAAGAAGGGGGTGCTCCACGCCGGTCCGGGGAGAGGTGGCAGCCTGCCCCCCGTCTACTGGCTGCCTTCCATCCACCGATACATGTACCCCGAGATGAAGGTAGGTCAGCCAAAGTCTCACGCAGTCCCGGGCTTGGGTCTGGGGACAGTAGTTGCTGATTATTGTTTTCATGAATAAGGAAATTTGTGTCTTGAGCTAATGCCCAAAGTCTGCTTTTGATAGAATAGGATTGTAACCTCAGCATTTGGTTCTTATTTAAAACATAAGGCAAGTTATCTTAAACAATATGCTTTGTAATACTTCCATAATAACGGTGCAAAGCCATATGGAGGGCCCAGTTGTGGTGGACTCCTGGGGGCGACAAGTGGATCTGATTCTTGTGATTGCTTCAGTTTTAAAGGCAGACATTTGAACTAAAAATGAAGTGTTTGAACAGTTGAGATATTTCTTAGTTACCGTATTTTTGATATTACTTTATTGTGTATTTTTTCTGAATTACTTTGTACTAGAATATGTTTATTTACCATTAAGAGAAGACCCAAGCAAGTGTTAGATGTTGGGAGGGTACAAAGAGCCTCCCCCTTTCCCTTCTCCACCAGCTCTGCCCTCCCCCTCCTCGTCCGCTTCCTCCTCCTCCATCCCCCTCTTCATTCCCCTCCTCCTTCATCCCTCTCCTCCTCCATCCCCCTCCTCAGCCACCTCTCCCTCCTCCATGCTCCTCCTCCTCCTATTTCAGGCTCCCTGGTAGAGAAATTATACCATGAGTTTGAGAGGACTCTGAGAAGGCATCTTGGAAGAGGCATTTGAGGTATTTAACCAGGGAAAGTGAGGGATGCTCAGTCCAGGCTGAGGGAAGGCATGAGCCACAGTGGGGGCCGTGGTCCAGCACTCTGTCAGCACCTTCTGTGAGTTAGACGTTCTGCTGACTCTATCTACGTCTGTTGCAACTCTCTTTAAAGTGGATTTTTCTTTTTCAATCCATGCTTTAAAGGTTCAGTGACTTGCTTAAGGCCTTACAACTAGTAGGAGATAGAGCCAGGGTATAAACACAGGCCTGGTGCCAGGGCCAGTGCTCAGTCCCTCCCACTCCATTGCCTTGTGGGGATGTGCGTGAGAAATCACAGGGCGAGTTCATGGGCGTGAGAAGACTGGTTTGACTGTGATGAATGTCAGTGTCATCTGGCCAGGAGAAAAAAGTGGAAAAGTAGGTTGCAGTCAGATTGGAAAGAACCTTAACTGTTAGACCATGGTATTTGAATCTGAAGAAGTACCAGTTAGGGTCTCGTTAGGAAAACACAAACTATGCCAGGTATTTCAAACTGATTCAATACAGAGAATCAGTAGTACAGGAATTGGAAAACCAAAGGCACAGAGAGGTAACGAAATAACCTAAACACTAGAAATACAGACAGTGGCTACCACCCTATGTTAGTTATCTGTTGCTGCATCAGAAGTTGCCTCAAATTAATGGTTTAAAATGAAAGTGAAAGTCACTCAGTCGTGTCTGATTCTCTGTGACCCCATGGAATTCTCCAGGCCAGAATACTGGACTGGGCAGCCTTTCCCTTCTCCAGGGGATCTTCCCAACCCAGGGATCGAACCCAGGTCTCCCACATCGCAGGCTTCTTTACCAGCTGAGCCACATCTCTCAGTTTCTGTGAGTCAGGGATCCAGGCTTTGCTGGGCCCTCTGCAAGACTGCAGTCAAGGTGTCCCTCATGACTGGGGGCTTATCTGACAGCTCAGCTTGGAGAATATCCACTTGTGAGTTCACATGGTTGTTGGGAGGATTGAGTTCCTTGAGGGCTGTTGAACTGAGAGCCTTGCTGACTGTTTAGTACCTCCAGCAAGAAACAAACATGTTGGGGGTCTCCAACATGATGGCTTCCTTCATCAAAGCCAACCCGTGAAAAAGTCTGCTGGCAAGGTGAAGTCCCAATCCGATGTAGTCATTGTGGAAGTCACAACGCTGTAGTGTTGCCATATCCTGGTGTTAAAAGCAAGTTACTCAAGAGGAAAAGAGGATTGCATAGATAGGCAGTAGATAACCAATGAGTGGGGGAGGGGTTGGTGGTGTACCTGGGCTTTTTGAGGCTGCCTGCCATGCATTCCCAGGGCTGGAGTAAGAAAGGGGAAAGTGACCGGAAGTGACATCTGAACTGCAGGAGCTCAGAGGAGGGGCTCTGCGGAGGTGGTCTCAGACCGCTTAGGGAGGCACGGTGCACCTGGGCCTGGTCTGGGCAGGGATTGCCTAGGGCCGGGGATGCCAGGAATAGATGGAGTCTAGAATGGAGGTATCCTCAGCCCCTGGAGAGATACCAGCGGAAGCTGGACCCTGAAACTGGAAGCCTCCCCCTGCCCTCCAGTCTCCAGTCACTGCCCCCCATTGGCAGAACCTAACGGGCAGCCACCAGGCATGAGAGTCCGGGAAAGGTAGTTTGAAGATTTTCCGGGCATGTCCTGCAAGGCAATAACTAAGAAGCTGTCAGAGGATCATTAGGGCAATTCCGGGCCTGTATTGATGAAAACCTACTTTCTTTCTCTTCACTGCTAACTCTGACCCTCTTTTTCCTTCTGAGTTCAAGGCTGTCTCCAAACCCACAGGGAGGTGACCAGCATCTGACTTGGGTGCCCTAGATTCCTCTCCCCAAGATGCCAAGAAGGGGACCAAAGGGAGAAAAAGTGAAATCACCTCTGTTTTTTGCCTTATTGTGGGCAGCTCATTAGCAGACATGTTAAACCCTGGGAGATGCAGGGAAAAGGATACCTTAATAGGTTGCAGGTAAAATGTGAACAGTCTTCTTTTAAAAAAAACAATTTGTTAGTGCTTTATTAAAAATCAAAATATGGCACCCTTTGATCTGATAGTCCCACTCCTAGAGATCTGTCTTCTATCTGTAAACCACCAGAGTGTCATGATGTCTGTATGAGCATGTTTAATTCAATATTGTTCAGAGTGGTAGACAAATAGAACACTCTCTATGTTACACAGCCATTCGGAATAATGAATTAGAGCATAACTAGTTGACAGGGGATGCTCTACTAGGAAGTATTGTGAGAGAATAGCAAAGAGCTGAAAACTATATATGATGTTATCACTTTTGTAAAATAATCACTGCCTTGGGTATGTACAAACATGTAGATATATCCATATACACACGTGAACATATATACAATATGTATCCATGTCCACATACATACATGAACATGGAAAAAAAATATGGATGGATGTGATGTGGGTAATTAACACATATTACCTTGGGGTGAGGTGGCTTTGGAGGGACAATGCTTATATATGTAAAAGAGGAAAAGACCAGGGGAAAAAATGACAGTACTAATTAACATGGTATATTTGATAGTCTGTTCAAATATATCACACATGTGTACATATGAAGAAATTGTTATGTAACCTCTCTATTGAAATATAACATTTGTCGCAACTGGTTGAAAGCTGTAAGTTTATGATAGGTCAATGAATTTTTTACAAAGTGAACAGATATATAAAGAAAATTGTAAAATAAACTTATGAAGTAGAGGTCAGATCTAAGCAGAGGGAAGGAAAAACCTGGAAGGTGAGAGGAAGGCAGGATGATGGAGACCTCTCTGAGCAGCCCAACAACAGCTAGTAAGTGCTCCCCCAGGGAAATAAGGGAGCGAGAGAGAGACAGAAGTCGGGGGACTGAGTCCCAGGAGTGGATGGATTTCCTAGGGGGATGAAGGTGAAAGGTGAGGGATGAAGTATGAATCTGAGGGACCTACCAGCAACAGTTAGGGAGTAAGAAGAGGATGGGGTGCCTGACATGAAAAGCTGGAGGGAAACCTAACAGTAGGAACTGTGCAAGTCCAGAAGAGAAGGTTCTCTGTAAAAGCTCCAAGGCCCAGAGAAGGGAAACGCGTTGAGGTGAAAGCAAAGGAGAAGTGTGTGGTATCGTGCAGTCGGGGTGCAGCCTGGCACCGTGTCTCAGCAGAGAGAATGCCCCCTCGCTGGGCTGCTGCCCGTTTGCCCTGGCAGAGGCCCTGCCCAGCGCCCCAGGCACTTGTGGTTCCCAGAAAGCAGCTTGTTCTCATACCTCAGGGCGTTTGTACACTCTCCTGCCACCCCCTGCCCCTCTTTCAACACAGCTCTCATCAGGCTGGTGTTTAAGCGCTGTGTGCCTGCTTCTTCCACTGGCTTGTAAACTACACACTTTGTCCTGGAAGTGACCTTCCGAAACATTCACAGAGCACTTGGCTTGAAGCCTGGTGTTTTGTCAGTGACAGTTATGTCGTGTGGCTTTCCCATGTGCCAAGTGTTGCACACGAATTTTCTCAAGTGGTTCTTCTAGCCGTATGAAGGATATGATGATATAGCCCCATTTTACAGGTAAAGAAAGTGAACCAGAAACGTGGGCTGGCTTTCCTGAGGTCTCCCTGTCAGTAAAGGGCAGAGCAGAACCCTGGTCTCCGACTTCCCCTGGGTCAGACAGAGCTCATGCAGTTGCTCCAGGAATGTCTTAGTTCCTCTGCCTGCCTGGGAGGCAACCCTCAGGGTTGAGGTGTCCTGGCATCCAGCACTGAGAGGAGTTGGGGGTGGAGTTGGGACAAGGGGATGGAATTAGGTATGGGGGTGGGGTTAGGTACAGGGGGTGGAGTTAGTTGCAGAGGGTGGGGTTAGGTGCAGAGGGTGCGGTTAGGTTCAAGGGAGTAGGGTTAGGTGTAGGTGGGTGGGGTTATGTGCAGGGGTGGGGTTAGGTGTAGGTGGGTGGAGTTAGGTGCAGGGGGTGGAATTAAGTGCAGAGGGTGGGGTTAGGCACAGGTGGGTGGGGTTAGGTGCAAGNTCCCGTGGGGCTGGAGGGGAGAGGGGAAAGAAAGGGGACTTCCGCCCACTGTCAGAGCCCCCTTCTCAGATCTGCAGCAGAGGGCTCCAAGGGGAGCCTTTCAGCTCACACCAGATGTGCACTTCTAGGTTTGGGCTGCCTTTGAGTTCATTCTGGGCGATACTGGAGGGGTGGGGGGAAAGGAAAACTCACCACTGCTTTAGTGGAACTTTGAATTCTTGTGTCTTTCTCCCAACTACCATTTACTTTTTGTTTATTTGTTTGCTTTTTGGGTTTTTCTGGTTGCACTGTGTGGCTTGCAGGATCTCAGTTCCCAAGGATCAAACCCCAGGCCCTCAGCAGTGAAAGCGCATGGGTCCCAACTGCTGGACCACCAGGGATGTCCCTGCTGTGTTTACTGTTCACCACAGATCTCAGATAACTGTTGCTGTGCGTTCTGTCCAGGACTGTCAAGAGAGACAGGGTAAGGTGAGCCTACTCCATTACAATCTGTGTGACCCTAGGCAGGTTAAGACGACTTCTCTGTACCACGTCCATCATCTTTAGAAGCAGATGGTAGTGACATTAACCTCAAAAGGTTGTTGTATTAAATGAGTTTATATCCATAAAGTACTAAGAGTGCTTGATCACAGTGATTCATAAATATTACTAATAGTACTTAATAATAAATACTATTTTTCATTAGTGATTATCATAGAAAAATTGGAAAATAGAGATGGGCAAAAAAGATGAAAGTCACCCAAAATCCCAATATATGCATTATGATTTGTATTTTTTCAGATTTTTCAGTCAAGATATATTTATCAATTGATTAGATACATGAACACTTAGTAAAAGCATAGGACTGTATTCCCTGTCCCACTCCCCAAACAGCACATTTCACTTTAGGGAGCCAAAGCAGGTCACAGGAAGAAAACTTTCCAGCTCTAGGCCTTCTTCCGATTGCTCCCACTCAGAATGCTCATCCTCCCGTTTCTTTATCAGGTTAACTGCTACTTGGGTATCTAGTTTCAATTTAAAGGTCACATCCTCATCAGAGGCTTCCCTGACCCCAGATGAGAAGTCGATTCTCTGGTAAGGGCTTTCGTGTCACCCTATACTTCTTAGTACTTACCACACACTTAATTATGTAATCATATAGTTAAGAACCTCAGAGGACAGACAAGTTCTGTACTCAAGAGTTTCACATTTGCTCATTTTTCTCTCCTAGATGGTGCCCCTGGCCCCCTCATCTATCCTCCAAGGCTCTACGGTTGAAGCCTTTACGGCTGATCCAAGGTGGCACTAATCTGGGCAAGTCTGCTTACATAAATGGGCCATCACAGCTCCGAGCTGAGTCAATGAGCAGTGAAGTCCCATTTCCAGTCCAACTGCAGAGATCTGAATTCAGTAGGAACCGTGGTGCGAGTGGGGTTCAGCAACATGCATTTTCAAAAGCTCCCCTGATGATTCTGATGCTGGTGGACCAAAAAAACACTGCTTGTGGTAGGACACCTCCGACACACCTTCCAAAGATCCTTGCCTTCTAATGATCACTAGACTGGACTTGGTGACTGGTGAATGATGGGATGTTTCCTCCCCAATTAGGTTACAGAAGACTGGGCTTTCATCTTGCTGAAGTGGTCTCTGGCTCTTGCTCTGACGAAGAGGGCAGCCTCTGACCTACAGTCAGCCAAGGAGTGAGGACCTCGGTCTGACCACCCAGAGGTAGGGAATCCTGCTGACAATCACTGGCTATGCCCGTAAGTAAGCCCCACACACCGGAACCCTGAGCTGAGACACCCTCACTCACACCCTGTGGTAGCCTTGGAAGTGACCCTGAAAGCTCAGCAGAAAACTGTAGTGCTGAGTTGTGCAGATTTCCGGGCCGTAGAAACCGAGATAATAACCGTGTGTTGTTTCAAGCCACTAGGTTTCAGGGTAATTTGTTACACAGCAACAGAGAACTCAACTCACTGCCTAGACTTGCCCCTCTCAACTACTGTCTCTCCACCGATGTTGGAAGAGACACCTAAGCAGAGAATTTCTCACTTCTCTTTTACAGGATTTCATCAAACACGGGCTTCCCAGGTGGTGCCAGTGGTAAAGAATTTGCCTGGCAATGCAGGAGATACAGGAGACATGGGTTTGAGAAGAGGGATCTGGGATACCTGGGTTGGGAAGTTCCCCTGGAGAAGGAAATGGCAACCCACTCCAGTATTCTTGCCTGGAGAAGCCCATGGACAGAGAAGCCTGGCGGGCTACAGTTCATGGGATCGCAAGAGTCGGACACAACTTAGCGCTATCTTTTGATGTTGCAACAAAGGTGCAGTACTTTGATTCTGATCAAGTGTACTTTCTAACGTGTACCTGCTGTTGAGATGTAAAAGTATCTGAAAGCTGAGCAGAAAGCCAGCAGTCTCGTCAAGACTTTTGAATCTCTGTCTATTGAATCTGAAATCCCTGACTGCCCAAAGCTGCTTGGGACACTGAGCACCTTGCTCTGTGGAATACAGATGAAAAGTCTAGACTGTTACGTTATCAGACTATATCTGAATACGGCGCATATATTCATATTGTACTATAAGTCAGTGACACTCAGATATGCTCTGTGCAAATTAAAACAAAGCCATCAAAGTATTGATTTCTAACATAATTCCACAGTGGTAAGAGAACAGACTGTACGATTTCAATACCTTTAGACCATGAAATTTTTGCACCTTGTTTTATGTCCCTGGATATGTTCCAGTGTCTCCTGGTTTATAGTCTGTGGGAACTTGAAGTGAATTTGTATCCTACTGTCATGTGAAAATTGTGTAAATTTTAATTATGTTGAATTGGCTCTTAGCTTTTCTGGTCTACTATATTCTTGTACTTTTCTCTCTGTTCATTCTAGTCATTTTTGAGAGTTTGATACTGAAACTCCAACTAAAAATGTTAATTTATCTGCTTATAAAAATAGTCGTAATATATAGTAGAACTATATGTAAGTTCCACTTACATATAGTTACATATAGGACCTATATTTAAGTTCCACCATAGTGGAACTTTGTTCTGTGTTTTCTAGGTCTCCTATAAATGTTTATCATACTTTCATAATTTCAAAAAGAAAAAGCCATCTAAGGAACACACAATTATACACAGATGATGGTGCGCTGTGGAGATATCGGTCCCTCTGCCCGGCTCCCCCTTCTCCATCACTGCCTGCCCCCCGGGGCAGGCTTCTGACTCCCCAGTGCCTGCCCCAGTACCTCCGAGCTCCATCTTTTTTGCGTGGTTAGCTCAAGGGCTACAGAGTCATTTTGAGTCAGAGTCCTTCTCTGCATTGGGAAGCCTCACCTCCTGTCACTGGCTTTAATTACCCATCCAGGGCTTTGAAGGTAGATTTCAGTTTCTCACATTAAGTCTTGACCTCAGAACTGCATTATCAGGTTTTTTGCTTTGTTTTGTTTTTTTTTTTAATCTTTCTCTTCCCTTTAGGACTAAGCAGAAAGAGAGGAACACAGTTCATGGGGCCTCTCTCTGCAGCTTTGTTTAAACCTCTAGTAACCTTCCTGTAGATTTCTGGCAGTCAGGCCATCACTCACTCAGAGATTTTGCTAATCATAGAATGGCTTAACACCAGTTCTCTGCTGACCTTAGAGGCACTTGAGTAACTCTTTTAACTTTTATCCTGTTTTCTTCTTTTAAAAGGCTTGTCTGACTCTTGAAACCATTTAAACATATAGCAAGCAAAACAGTATAGTTTCGGTTCCCCTGTGTCGATTACTTGGTAAACTTTTGTGCCTTTTCTGCCCTCCCTTTTCCATGTCTTGTCTTGTGAATGCAGGTTTTTCCTTGAGCAAAACAACCGGATATTTCAGACTTTGTTGGAGGTGTCCGCCAGTCAAGACAAAACTCTGACGGCCGAGCACGCCCGGGGCATGGGTTTAGACCCCCAAGGAGACCGGAGCTTTCTTATGGACTTGCTGGAGGCCTACGGCATTGATGTCATGTTGGTCATTGACAACCCCTGTTGCCCATAGGAAGGATGAGCCGCTATCACATGGGGACGGCCTGATTTCTGATTGACACACAGGAGTATTTATACTTCCAACAAATGTAGTTTTTGCATCTTCTTTCTTCCCTTCTTCCCAAGAGGTAAGATCAGAGCGCCTTGATTTTGAAGGTTGCTGGAAGCTACTGCTTTCCTAGCTGCTGCTGGGTTCAGTCTTGGGAGTTATCAAAGCAGATTCTCTCATCTCCTCGTGATTGACTTGAGGTGAAGGGGGAAGGCCGCCTGTCACCAGGAGCTCTGGACACCCTGGCTGGACTGTTGGGAAAGTCTGTCTGGTCTCTGTCATTTGATGGATCAAGAATGAGACCACAGTCTGTCCAGCGTGGCCTTACATATCCATCTGCCCAAAGCAGAAGCTAGACCAGATGGCCTTCCAAGGTTTTTATCAGTTCTGGGAGTCTTGTCTTGCGATCAAATTTCCTTTCTGGTTTATTAGAGTAAATCTGTGTTTTCTCTGTTCACATAGAGACTTCAGAGTGGGACAAAGGATGTTTTTGTCACCAGGTATGAAGCTCCTCTAGACAGAGGACAGGGAGTGGTGGCTTCTAAGTCAGCTGAAAACTAAAATTGTAAAAATGAAGCCTGGAAACCTTTCCCTAAGTTAACGGTGGCCGCTCCACGTCATAGTTTTGTTTCTCTGAATTCCCTCCTGGGACAGGCTGGCACATTCCTCCAGGCTGATGTCAGCAAGAATGTGTACCAGTTAGAAGCCTTCATAAACAAACTTCTTTTTAGCAGAGACAACATTCCTCGAGCTAGGCAACTGGGACCAGAGAAGCACCAGACTCGTTAGAGGTGGCATGCCTGCACCAGGGGCGTGGTTGGGAACCCCGTGTGTGAGATGAGTTTCTCTGCTGTGCTCTGGAGTGCTTGGACCTGGGATAGCTCCTGTTGGCCCTGCTTGTTCCCCTTGGCTGGGGTGTTCAGTGGACATCAGCCACGGTGAGACAACCATGGTTTGTTAGAGAAGCCTGCTCCTGTGAGTCGAGTAGAGGTCTTCTGGGCCAGTTCAGGATTTTGACTTGGGATCCTGGGTTGTTTGTGACAAATAACTTCTTCCCCTTCACTGTTCCTACCTGACTGGATTATTGGAATAGCTGTCTGTGTATCTGTGTCCGGGACCAAGTTCTAGCCAGGCTAGTGTCAGAGAGAAATAACTTTCAAATGGATGGATTGTGTGTCTTGTCTCGAGACTAGCTTTGTAGGGCTTATTGCTTTATTCAAAACCATTCTCACTGCAGCTCCCTGATACAGAATTCAAGATTAAAGAAGTTCACATGTGGAAATGCAGACATTGACTAATCAAGGGTAGTGTCTTTTATGTAAATATATAAATAAGTTTGGGCATTGAAATGTAAACTGTACATTTTTCTTCTCTGTGGGTTTAGCCATCATTTCAGTAATATATTTGTTTACAGAAGAAAAAAAGAATCCGTTTAGAAGCTGAAGCTTCACTGCCTTTTTCCTTGAAGAGTGGCCATCTCCTCTTATTCCTGGAGAAGGAGCAGCCTTTGTAACTTGGGTCAAGTAATGGTTACTCTTAGTATTATTGGAAGGTTCAAGGCTTTCTAAGTTGGGATGGGCAGTCAGAAGTAGGGGTGGGGTAAAAGGAAAGGTCAGGTCCTCTTGNAGCTGGCTTGGTCCTTCTGGGGAACTTTAAGCCTGATCTGACGCCAAGCTGTGCGTGTGTATGTTCAGTTCAGTCATGTCCAACTCTTTGTGACCCTGTGGCGTGTAGCCCGCTAGGCTCCTGTGTCCATGGTATTTTTCAGGCAAGAATATTGGGGTGGGTTGCCATCCTTCCTCCAGGGGATCTTCCTGATCCAGGGATTGAACCCCTGTCTCTTGAGTCTCCTGCACTGGCAGGTGTTTTTTTACCTGCTGAACCAAGCTGTGAGCCACGCCCTAAGCTGGAAACATTGCTAACTTGAGAAGTGGGGGCCACCGGGTCATCCTTGGATGAAGTTAAAAGAAATTCTAGGTGGTCAGAGTCCTTGTGAGCCTAGAATCCAGGCTTAGAGTTTGCTGATGTCTTGTCGGATATGACAAAGTTCTGACAAAATGGATTTTTTTCACTTGTGCAGACTTGGCAGATGGTACTCTTCAGCCTTTGGGACAATGTCCAGTTGTCCTCTGGGTTAGGACTCTTCTAAAGGAGTCAGAAATGGTAGGACTTATCTTTCCTCAGACCAGAAAGTATGGGGCAAATAACAGTTCAAAATTGGCTTTGGCTTTTGCTAAGCATGAAGCACCCACCCCTTAGGCCTGGCATAGGTCCCTTCTAAGGTAAGTGCCCATACAGTCCTCAGTAAGTTATGATTGCTGTGGATTAGAAGGCTGCCTCCGTCATTCATCATGGCATTGTGTCTTCCATTTGGCTGGAGAAGGGAAGCTGAATTCATTGATACATTGATAGAAATCATTTAGCCTAGGAATTTGCATTTGTAATTTGTTTGTCCCACGTGAAAAAGATGGGAAATTTACGTATAGCACAGGGTGCAGATAATTCTCAATACCACATGTGAAGAGTCATTGATCAGTGTAACTACCTGTTTTAGCTAGAAGATAAAGGTAAAGATAAATGAAACCATAGCTGAACCACTTTTTCATTCTGGTGGTTATGAGGGCAAACTTGCTATTTGTCTTAATACACTGAAAACCCTTCAAACAGTAAAAAAGATGAGCTTACTCACCTTTAAACCAAGGCCTTTGGGGAAGCTTTTGCAAAGGGCAGTGATGTGAAGTTTTCGTTAACCTTTTAAAGGCAGTACAACAACTCTCCAGGAAGAAGGGGATCTCAGGAACTTGTTTTTGTTTTGAAATGACACTACCCAGGTGGTGCAAGTGGCAAAGAATCCACTTGCATCTCCTGCTAATGCAAGAGACATGGGTTTAATCCCTGGGTCGGGAAGAAACCCTGGAGAAGGAAATGGCAACCCACTCTGGTATTGTTGGCTAGAAAATCCCATGGACAGAGGAGCCTGGTAAGCTACAGTCCATGGGGTTGCAAAGAGTCAGCCCTGACTCTGGACTGCTAAATCAAAGGAAAATAAACCACAGAACCCAGGGAATGAACTGAGGTGCTTTCTCCCATCCCAGGAGGATCATACTCAGAGGTACGGGAAGCAGGGGGTGCTGCTGAATAAGACAGTGTTCAGCTTGACAGTGAACTTAGGGAAATTTACGTATAGCACAGGGTGCAGATAATTCTCAATACCACATGTGAAGAGTCATTGATCAGTGTAACTACCTGTTTTAGCTAGAAGATAAAGGTAAAGATAAATGAAACCATAGCTGAACCACTTTTTCATTCTGGTGGTTATGAGGGCAAACTTGCTATTTGTCTTAATACACTGAAAACCCTTCAAACAGTAAAAAAGATGAGCTTACTCACCTTTAAACCAAGGCCTTTGGGGAAGCTTTTGCAAAGGGCAGTGATGTGAAGTTTTCGTCAACCTTTTAAAGGCAGTACAACAACCCTCCAGGAAGAAGGGGATCTCAGGAACTTGTTTTTGTTTTGAAATGAAACTACCCAAAGTGGCAAAGAATCCACTTGCATCTCTTGCTAATGCAAGAGACAAGGGTTTAATCCCTGGGTCGGGAAGAAACCCTGGAGAAGGAAATGGCAACCCACTCTGGTATTGTTGCCTAGAAAATCCCATGGACAGAGGAGCCTGGTAAGCTACAGTCCATGGGGTTGCAAAGAGTCAGCCCTGACTCTGGACTGCTAAATCAAAGGAAAATAAACCACAGAACCCAGGGAATGAACTGAGGTGCTTTCTCCCATCCCAGGAGGATCATACTCAGAGGTACGGGAAGCAGGGGGTGCTGCTGAATAAGACAGTGTTCAGCTTGACAGTGAACTTGCCTTGGTGTGATGACAGTTCTCAACCAGGCAGGAAAGTTAGTAATATGGGGACCAGTGTGTGTCAAATGGGCTTTCATCTCCCTACTAGGCTCCTGGCTCTGGGCTTGGACTCTGAAAGGACCAGTCCTCGGTCTCTCCTCTGCACTCCTGCGGTACCTGTATGTGGTGCCCTGTGGTGAGGTTCCTGCATGGCTGGGGTCGCCTCAGCAGGCCAGCCCACCCCTCTCATTTCAGGAAAGCCCTTTCGTGATTCAGGTATAGGGGAAGAGGAGCTCAGGGCTCCTTTTTACTCCTAAGTCATGGATGCATTTTTAATATTCCATTTGTATTACTAATATACCTCTGTTCCCAGGAGCTACTGGAGGGCCAAGTGTGGTGGAAAAAGGCTAACTGTGAATTAAATTAATGTTTTTCTGATAAGAAGTGGAAGTTTATTTTTATATTGATATGACTATGTGATGTATTAAGGATGCACATGTTGAAATGGAAGGAAATGTCAAAACAATAATCCTGGAAGAAATGGGCATATTGCAATTTGGAAGCAGCTGAGACCCCCCTTTTTTTGTTTTTTATTTAAATGTTCTGGTGAGTGAATAAGGACTGTCCTATGAAATCTAACAGCCTTTTGAGGAGATAAAGTTTACAGTCCTATGGAGGATGACGTACAGTCACCAACCTTAATAAGACTCTTTTATGAAAGCGGGCGAGTGTGATCAGGCTGATTGCTACGCCTCTTAACTGGAGGGAGTCAGAGGTAGTTTTATAACTCACTTTAGCTCATTTTTTTGGAGCTGGAATACAGGGGCTGTTGGATGAAACTGCACATTTAGAAAGGAAATAATTTTCTAGTACTATACAGAGAACTGATGATGAAGTAAAGCCCTGCTCTCATCTCTTTAGCATTTATTCTAGAAGCTCAGCACTGAATGGGCTTTTAGAGGTAATAGGATCTCAATTCAGGAAATGTATTTAATCACCATAAACAGATGGGTATGAACCACCTCTCTTTGCTATAGAATGCCTCTTTACACTAACGGTACATCTATTTTGCTAAGGACAGTTGGGGGATGCGGAGGTAGGGTGTAGGGTTTTATGAACTAGCCAGAGATGATCCACAAAATGAAAAATCCACACACAGGTCACTGAGTTATCTGGTTGTCAACATATATCGTTGACACTGGAGTGAAAACTCCTTCCTTTGTCCAAATCAAAGATTTTCAGTCTAGCCCTCCAAGACCAGTGAGGAAAGCTGTAGATTCTGTGCTTTTTGGGAAGACTGGGTAGGAGACTTGAGGGGTATGGGGTAGAGGAAAACAAAACTAACCAACCTCCTTTGTACATCTCAGGCTTGTTGGCTAAAAAATTTTTTTTTTAATCGGTCTGACGAGTAAGTCTTTTCTGAAAAACTTGGGAGAAGTTCTGTGTTTTCCAAGTGTAAGATCAGCATAGCCTCCCCGTCGCCTTAAATGTCAAACCCCTATTTTGATTAATATCCCAGTGTAAAAGTCATAGCAATAAGAGAAACGGAATCTAGTTTTGTTTCAAGTCTTTAGCTCCTAGGATGAAATTAGTAAGACAGTTGATACATCTCCCTGAATGTCCTGCATCTGGCTCTGCTGTTCTCTCTCATTGGTCGTAATCATGTAGAAGGCCTAAGGAAAGCTGGGGTTCATTCCAGCGGGTACATGTTTCTTGAACTGATTTTGTTCTGTGCTACAGATAACATCTGTGTATATCATATCTGTATATATCTGAACCAAGCTGTATGCAGAGAGGTTGATATAACTATATTTACAGAAAACTGTTTTTACGATTAAAATTCACATTTTAACACGAACACGTGTGCTGCACTCCTTCGCCTGGCCTGAGAAAGGTGGTTTGTGATAGGAAGGAGTGGCAGCCACGGGCGTGAGCAGACCGTATGGTGCTGACCTCCCTTAGGGTGACGGCGGAGGACACTGCAGAGGCTGGAGCCTGTCCTCCTCGAGGCTGAGGTCTGGATACACACTCTCCAGGTAAGGGAAACCGAAATTGGGAGTAACCATCCCCATTCTGTCAAAAAAGTCAAGACTGCGTGCTCTCAGGCACATCAGACGACTTCTGGAGGAGGACCCCCACCCAGACCAAGGCCTTTTTGTTTCACATCTTCTTCCAACTAAAGTTTACTTTAAAACATTATATACTGAGATGCACATACACACACACGTCTTATTTTTACCCTTTTGGGCAGTTACTTATTTTAAGGCAGTATAGAGTGAATTCCTAACACTGTTATCTCTCTGTTCTAAGCCAGGTTCCTACCTTCTAAGTGACACAACCACATATTACCTAGCTCCTTGGGTGGTGAGAACACAGCTGATCAGTCGTGTGTGTAAAGCACTGGTGCATAGTAATTACAACCGTGCATTCACACTGGCTGTGGGGTTAAGAAGACTTTATACTAAGCTATATTTAATATAACACATCTGCTCTGTTTTGAATAGAAATGCTGTTGGTTTTTCAGTGACCTTCGTCTGACATAAGGTTTNGGGGGGGGGGGGGGAGTCAGGTTCTCATTGGACCCCTTTGCATTCA